GGCTGAGGCTGAGGCTGAGGCTGATGAGGCTGAGGCTGACAGCTGAGGCTGAGGCTGAAGGCTGCAGGCTGAGGCTGAGGCTGAGGCTGAGGCTGAGGCCTGAGGCTGAGGCGCTGAGGCTGAGGCCGAGGCTGAAGGCAGAGGCTGAGGCTGAGGCTGAGCAGGCAGGCTGAGGCTGAGGCTGAGGCAGGCTGTGGCTGAGGCTGAGGCTGAGGCAGGCTGATGCTGAGGCTGAGGCTGAGGCTGAGGCTGAGGCTGATGCAGGCTGAGGCTGAGGCAGGCTGAGGCTGAGGCCGAGGCTGAAGACAGACTGAGGCTGAGGCTGAAGCAGGCTGAGGCTGAGGCTGAGGCTGAGGCAGGCTGAGGCTGAGGCTGAGGCAGGCTGATGCTGAGGCAGGCTGAGGCTGAGGCAGGCTGATGCAGGCTGAGGCTGAGGCAGGCTGAGGCTGAGGCCGAGGCTGAAGGCAGACTGAGGCTGAGGCTGAAGCAGGCTGAGGCTGAGGCTGAGGCTGAGGCAGGCTGAGGCTGAGGCTGAGGCAGGCTGAGGCTGAGGCAGGCTGAGGCTGAGGCTGAGGCTGAGGCTGAGGCAGGCTGAGGCTGAGGCAGGCTGAGGCTGAGGCCGAGGCTGAGGCTGATGAAGGCTGAGGCTGAGGCTGAGGCAGGCTGCTGAGGCTGAGGCAGGCTGAGGCTGAGGCTGAGGCTGATGCAGGCTGAGGCTGAGGCAGGCTGAGGCTGAGGCCGAGGCTGAAGGCAGACTGAGGCTGAGGCTGAAGCAGGCTGAGGCTGAGGCTGAGGCAGGCTGAGGCTGAGGCAGGCTGAGGCTGAGGCTGAGGCTGATGAGGCTGAGGCTGAGGCAGGCTGAGGCTGAGGCCGAGGCTGAAGGCAGACTGAGGCTGAGGCTGCAGGCTGAGGCTGAGGCTGAGGCAGGCTGAGGCTGAGGCTGAGGCAGGCTGAGGCAGAGGCTGAGGCTGAGGCTGATGCAGGCTGAGGCTGAGGCAGGCTGAGGCTGAGGCTGCAGGCTGAGGCTGAGGCAGGCTGAGGCTGAGGCGAGGCGAGGCTGCTGCAACTGAGGCTGAGGCTCCTCGGCTGAGGCAGGCTGAGGCTGAGGCTGAGGCTGAGGCTGAGGCTGCAGGCTGAGGCTGAGGCAGGCTGAGGCTGAGGCTGGCAGGCTGAGGCTGAGGCTGAGGCTGATGCAGGCTGAGGCTGAGGCAGGCTGAGCTGAGGCCGAGGCTGAAGGCAGACTGATGCTGAGGCTGAAGCAGGCTGAGGCTGAGGCTGAGGCAGGCTGAGGCTGAGGCAGGCTGAGGCTGAGGCTGAGGCAGGCTGAGGCTGAGGCTGTGACTGCGACTGCCGTTGCCACTGCGACTGTCATCGCGAATGCGACTACGACTGCGAGAACAGCATTCTACAACTGGATTCTCATCTGAATCGTAAGGGGAATGCGTCCAGACATGCTCCTACACATCGCTGCCCGGTTGCTTTGCCGGGATAATCTGTTCCCAGCCCTCCTTGGTTGGGCATTCGTTTTGAATAGAGCAGTGTGGTCTCCACTCCTTTCTTCCCGTCCCGCCTCCCTCTTGCCTCCTCCTGGCTTGCCTGCGGGGGGCTGCGATCTGTGAAACTGTCGCCACTTTCGAGGCCTGCTGGGGGGCCCAGCACAGTGACGCCACGGGCAGATTCAAATTCGACCTCGCCATCCCTGGGGGGCTGCGATCTGTGAAACTGTCGCCACTTTCGAGGCCTGCTGGGGGGCCCAGCACAGTGACGCCACGGGCAGATTCAAACTAGACCTCGCCATCCCTGGGGGGCTGCGATCTGTGAAACTGTCGCCACTTTCGAGGCCTGCTGGGGGGCCCAGCACAGTGACGCCACGGGCAGATTCAAATTAGACCTCGCCATCCCTGGGGGGCTGCGATCTGTGAAACTGTCGCCACTTTCGAGGCCTGCTGGGGGGCCCAGCACAGTGACGCCACGGGCGGATTCAAATTAGACCTCGCCATCCCTGGGGGGCTGCGATCTGTGAAACTGTCGCCACTTTCGAGGCCTGCTGGGGGGCCCAGCACAGTGACGCCACGCGCAGATTCAAATTAGACCTCGCCATCCCTGGGGGGCTGCGATCTGTGAAACTGTCGCCACTTTCGAGGCCTGCTGGGGGGCCCAGCACAGTGACGCCACGCGCAGATTCAAATTAGACCTCGCCATCCCTGGGGGGCTGCGATCTGTGAAACTGTCGCCACTTTCGAGGCCTGCTGGGGGGCCCAGCACAGTGACGCCACGGGCAGATTCAAATTAGACCTCGCCATCCCTGGGGGGCTGCGATCTGTGAAACTGTCGCCACTTTCGAGGCCTGCTGGGGGGCCCAGCACAGTGGGCCACGGGCGGATTCAAATTAGACCTCGCCATCCCTGGGGGGCTGCGATCTGTGAAACTGTCGCCACTTTCGAGGCCTGCTGGGGGGCCCAGCACAGTGACGCCACGGGCGGATTCAAATTAGACCTCGCCATCCCTGGGGGGCTGCGATCTGTGAAACTGTCGCCACTTTCGAGGCCTGCTGGGGGGCCCAGCACAGTGACGCCACACGCAGATTCAAATTAGACCTCGCCATCCCTGGGGGGCTGCGATCTGTGAAACTGTCGCCACTTTCGAGGCCTGCTGGGGGGCCCAGCACAGTGACGCCACGCGCGGACCCAAATTAGACCTCGCCATCCCTGGGGGGCTGCGATCTGTGAAACTGTCGCCACTTTCGAGGCCTGCTGGGGGGCCCAGCACAGTGACGCCACGGGCGGACCCAAATTAGACCTCGCCATCCCTGGGGGGCTGCGATCTGTGAAACTGTCGCCACTTTCGAGGCCTGCTGGGGGGCCCAGCACAGTGACGCCACGGGCGGGACCTCGCCAGATCTTGTCGAGGCCTGCTTGGACCTCGCCATCCCTGGGGGGGGGGGGGGGGGGGCTGCGATCTGTGAAACTGTCGCCACATTCGAAGCCTGTTGGGGGGCCCAGCACAGTGACGCCACGGGCAGATTCAAATTAGACCTCGCCATCCCTGGGGGGGCTGCGATCTGTGAAACTGTCGCCACTTTCGAGGCCTGCTGGGGGGCCCAGCACAGTGACGCCACACGCAGATTTGAAGTAGACCTCGCCATCCCTGGGGGGCTGCGATCTCTGAAACGGTCGCCACTTTCGAGGCCTGCTGGGGGGGCCAGCACAGTGACGCCACGGGCAGATTCAAATTCGACCTCGCCACCCCTGGGGGGGCTGCGATCTGTGAAACCGTCGCCACTTTCGAGGCCTGCACAGTGACGACACGCGCGGACCCACATTAGACCTCGCCATCCTTGGGGGGATTCGATCGGTGAAACTGTTGCCACTTTCGAGGCCTGCTGGGGGGCCAAGTACAGTGACGCCGCGCGCGGACCCAAATTAGACCTCGCCATCCCTGGGGGGCTTCGATCTGAGATCCCCGCGTTCGAAGTGGCTAGGGTTGCTCAGGGATTGTAACTAATCAGCTTTATCTAGTCCTTGTCCTGTAGCCAGTGTCCTGCGAGTCTCCCGACGTCCGTCTGCAGACATATGTAACCCTCGCTCCGTCATCGCCCCCCCTTAGAAAGTGTCCTAAACTATTTGCGCCCCGCGTTTGCGCAGGGGTTGGGTACGTCGGCAGGGTATTTTTTTATAGAAAAAACACAGAAAAGAAAACCCGTGTTGCGAAACCATGTGTTGTTGTATGTGTTTGTGAATCTCGATTTGAAATCTCCCCGAAATCAAGATTGTTCGAAGGATGTCGGCATGCGCGCGCGACGACGCGCGTGTGTGTCTCGTTTTTTTGTTTTGCAAAGGATTTGCGAAACCTTGTGAACTTTGATAAACAAGTGCGCGCGCATAGTCATGTGTTGCAAGAGATGGCGGTTGGGGGCGATACCAGTTTGGCTGGGACAAAATGAATTCACAGTTCAGATGGGCGATGGGGCAACATTATATGTAATTTGCTATACGGAGAGGTGGCCCGTGATTTCCGAATGGGGGGGGTCGAGTCTACTTGTTTTAGAAAGGATAACATATGTGGTCCGCAGCGTCTGCGGTACAATCTGCGTCGTGTAATTTAAGTGGGGCGATCTATGGTGCTGCAGATGTGGTGCACTTCGTTTTCTGCGATGCATGAACTTTGCGCATTGCGTGTGGAGCATTCCATGTCTGTTGTGCCATATGTGTGGGGGTATCTACGCAGTGCAGTGTAGGTGGTGCACTCTACGTTGAGCAACGTGGCGGCAACGGGGCGGCTACGAAAACAACATCGACGCCAGTTCGACCAGGCCCAGACGACGGGACGAGGCGGCGACGGGGCGGCGACGGCGCCAACAGAGCCGCCAGACCGACAACCCTACCCCCCAGTTCCGTAGAGCAAAAGCAGGAACCCCCAAGGGCAAACACTGCTTGGGGAGTTCTACGAGTGCGCTGGCTGCTGCGTTTGTATATAACGTGTGTGTGTGTTGATGCACAACGATCAAGTTCGATCAGTAGTACATGTACATGTCTGCGAATGTGTATATGCGTGCGTGCATGCGTGTGTGCGTGCGTGCATGCGTGCGTGCGTGCGTGTGTGCGTGCGTGCATGCGTGCGTGCGTGCGTGCGTGCGTGCGTGCGTGCGTGCGTGCGTGCGTGCGTGCGTGCGTGCGTGCGTGCGTGTGTGTGTGTGTGTGTGTGTGTGTGTGTGTGTGTGTGTGTGTGTGTGTGTTTGTGTTTGTGTGTGTGTGTGTCCGCAGCCATGGTTCGAGAGGCTGCTGCGGTTCCCCCCGCAGCCCCTTCCGCCGGGTCCGCCGTGGGGCCGCTCTGGCGGGGGAGCGTGCCGCCGCCGTGGGCCTGAGACGTCTCCGAGCGCACCCCTCGGAGGCGCCAGGGTGGCCGCGCGCGGCCGCCAGGGCGGCCGCAGACCGCCGTGCAGAGAGGCAGGTCCGCCTTGAGCGCTGCACTCGGGGGGCCCGAGCAGCCTCCATCGGCGCATGTTCTCCGTGGCCCAGCCCGAGGCTCGCGAAGGCCCGGGGCGCAGGGCGCCCGACGCCGTGCTGCGGGAGGCCCTGCAGGGCATCCTCAGGCTGGCGCCCAAGAAGCTCAAGGAGCTGCGCGACGAGAGCACAGCGGATCTGGCCCGCCTGGACGGCGCCGCTCTGGAGGGCACGGTGGGCGGCGCGGACGCGTTCTTCAAGTCGCTGAGTCTCGGGTGTGAGGCAGCAGGGAGCCCGAAGGTGGTCGCCACCGCACTCGAAGCCACGCAAGAGCTTTTGGCGTCTGGCGCCCTCGCCGGCATGGGCAGTGACCCCTTCAAGGAGGGAGGCGGCCGACGCCTCATCGACTCTGTGATCGAGAGCGTCTGCAACTGTGCCGACCAGGGCGACGAGTCCGTGCAGATGCACATGATCCGTTCCCTCGAGAGCGCTGTCACCTCCCAGCACTGTGAGGTCCACAACGAGTCGCTCATGCTTGCCGTCAGCACTTGCTTCAAGCTGAATCGAGATTCAAAGATTTCCTCCAGCCAGCGGAGTGCGCACAATTCGTTGACGCAGATGCTCAACGTGGTCGTCCAGCGTATGGAGCTCAGCTCGGGCGACATGTCGAGGACGACCCCCGCGCCCTTTGACGAGACCGTGGTCAGCTCGCAGAGGAGTGCGCAGGAGGCCAAGATGGCGGCCTCGGAGCTGGCCCTCCTCCCCCCGCGGCAGGTCCTCCACGACCTGATGTCCACCTATGTGACGATGCTGGTCGACAAGGTCCTGGCATCGCTCGGACGTGTGCATGTTTATCTCGGCGAGGACCCTGGAGGAGCATCCTGGATCATCGAGCAAACGAAAACAAGCACGAAAACGAAACATGCACATGGAATGGACGCCCGAGCGATGGCAAGAGGTGGTCCTCGACACCGCAGAGAAGACGGGGAGCCAGAGTGCCATAGCCGAGGACTGCCCGGAGCTTGGCCCGCCGGGCAAGTTCGGCTGGTGCGTGGTGTGCCGGAGAAGTGCCGGCCACTATTGCGTGAACACCCAGGACTTGAGAGAGGCAGTCACGAAAGATTCCGCTCGTCTTGCAGCGAATGTATAGCGCCCACTGGCGCGCGCACCGATCCCAATTGCGCTCAATAGCGCCCAGTGCCGCCGAAGATCGCCCAAACAGCGCCTGACAGCTCCGAGTAGCATCATGTTTGGGAGATGCGTGTCGTCCACCTTGTGCGCAATTTGGCGCGCTATGGGTTGCCGTGGCGATGATTAATGGCTTCCGTGAGTTGCTGTCTAAAGGATCGGGCATTGCGAGAACGCCCAGCCAGACAAGTAGAAATCCGCACCTGTCACTGGTTCACTCGACATTGGCATTCGGGTGTACTGGTGCAGTCCGCAGTCAGTTCCGCTAATCGGCGTGAGTGTCGCTGGATACGCATTGTTTTTGGACGTCGGTTAGCTACTCCGATGGAGTGCACTCGGACTACGGTGCCGTGCGCGCGTGGAGTGCCCCTGGCATTTTTCGCTCTAGGCCATTTGGCTCCAAGGGGTACTGTCCACCCCCCTCGGAGAACACGTCACGTTCTTCACGGGGAGTAGCCCCCACCCCCCTGCCCCCCTTCCCTTGGCATCGCCCGGAAGTGTGCATTTTTGTTCGGCGAGGGCCGTCGAGGAGCATTCGGCATCATTCTGCGAAAAATACACACGCGAAGCCGACAGATGCGCGGGGAATGGAGGCCCGATTGACGCCAAATTGCCGTAATGGTGCCGGGTGTACGAGGGTGGGGTGCCCGTGTCCCAACACAGGCCTGGCGCGGTGTTCACAGGCATGCCGTGGTGGTGGCAGGCCTGCCTCGGTGCTAACAAGCATGCTGTGGCGCTCGCAAGCTCGGTCTCTCCCTTCTTCCCCCCCCCTTGTAGCGGACAAGGGTTCAAGGCTCAAGGCTCATCCCTGTAGGCCTCCTCATTGTGGTCTTACACAGCCAGTTTGCACAGCCAGCTCACACAGCCAGCTTACACCTACGAGCAATGGGTGGCAAGAGTCCGGTGGCGTCCAAGCGCCAGGCGGAACCCTCAGGTGCAACACCCGAGCGCAACGCCGCGAAGAAGAACCCCGACGAAAAGATGGTGGCCCTCGAAGACATCTCGAGCGACGATGACATCGTCGACACTGGAGCACCAGAGTCGTTCCAGAAGTTCGAGAAGAGACAGGTTTAGATATTCGAAAAGCTCTCCAAGAACATGACCAAACTCAGGGGGATGCTCCATCCGACGTGGAAGGGCATGGAGGATATGGCGATTGACGTGACGAACATACATGACAAAACGGGGGATCTTTATGTGGAGGTGAAGGATATAATCAGAAGCGTCTCAACCTTCTTCGACCCAGCAGATGTCGACGCTATGGAATGTTACAACCGATTCTGCTAAACTGGGCTTCCTAAAGAGGATGGAAAGAACAAGAAGACAACGTGGAAGTGTGGGGGGAAATTTGGTTCACCAGCAATAATACGATCGAAGAGAGAATCATCGACAAAACCTTGGGCCAGATCAAACATCACCTGATGGAGAAGCTTTTTGAACAGAAGTCGATCCGGATATTCAGGGACACAAGAACTAAGGCTGCCGAGGTGAAGGGGGACGGCAGCTTCGAAACGTACGCGGACGGAGACCAGGTCAACCAGGACGTGGTGACGTTCATGGAGCAGTGGCGGAACGATCGCGACGCCAAGTGACGTCTCAGCCTTGGCCCCAGATCAGAATTTCATGTACCACCCCAGACTCTCCAAGCTTCTGATCTATTCTTGAGTAGTTCTGGGACACTTGGAGTTTGTAGAATCAATCGTCTTTTTCCGACCGCCTGTCAGGGCGCCTGCGGATCCCTAACACAGGAGTCTGATAAGGTCTATTTGCAGGAAGGCGTTCCTCTCCGACCACAGCGTGGCCATGTTCATGAGGGACAGCTCCGAATAGCATGGCCGGACGAACCTTGCACCAGCCAGCGCACCAGCACCGACCAGCAGCCACCTCCACAGACTAACGCCGACCAGAGACCGACCGACGAGCCCGAACGTCGACCACCAGACCGACCACCGACCTCCAGCAACACCAACCAACAGCGACCACCACAGACTACCAGCAGCGACCTCCACAGACAACCAGCGCCTATCAGCGACCAGCCGACCACCCCAATCACCGACCACCACCAACGACCATCATAACAACCAGCAGTGATCAACAGCGACTTCGGCAGACAGCCAGCACCAACCAACCACCAGCGCACTAACCCAATTAACGGCCAGCAATCATCCCGACCACGACCAACACCGATCAACAAAGACCTCCGCGGACCATTAGCAGCGATGTCCACGAACAGCCAAACCGACCACCGACCAGCATCACCAACCAACCCAAACACCGACCTCCACATCCCATCTCCGACCACCAACACTGACCAACAACGGCCTCCGCAGACCAACAACACCGACCACATTGTACGGGCTTCGAGAGCGGACACCATGCCACCACAGTTGGCGCCAAAAAGCGGATGCCGCCGCACGCCGGAGGCTGGGTCAAAAGGCATCGGGATGAGCTTCGCGAGGGACGGTACAAGCGAGATAACAGTTGCTTTTGAAAACCGATTCCTTCCTCACCATGCGTGTAGGGTAGATCTCGACCGGAGACAATTCGACCAACCCAAACACGGACCACTAGACCGACCACCGACAACTAACGTCAACCAGCAACGACTACTACTGACCACCAGTAGCGACCTCCACAGACCACCAGCGCCGACCAGCGACCAGCCGACCAGCCCAGCCACCGACCACCAGCTCCGACTACCCGACCGATCAAGACTGACCAACAGCGACCTCCACAGACAACCAGTTCCGACCAGCGATCGACCAAGCATCCCAACAACCGACCACCAACCTCCACCACCACCGACCTACACCGACCAGCAGCGACCCCCGCAGGTCACCAACAGCGACGTCTACACCCAACCAGACTGACCAGCACCGACAAGCAACACTAGCCACGCCAAACACCGACCCCCGCACACAACCACCAATTCCCACCGGAGGAGGAGGAGGACGACGAGGAGTGTACAGAAATTTAGAAGGCGAATTCCCTATCGCATCACTGCGATTACGACCATCATGTCATGAATTCGGCGGACGCGTCGACGCAGACGACGATTTTCAGACTTGCCTTACCCAGCCCCTCCCTTTGACCCGTTCCTCCTTGAGCGAACAGACTAACGACCCACGCGAGGCATCGCACAACGAGTCTGACGTCTTTGACCCCACAGTTCAACAGCATCGACACACGAGCAGCAAGACCGATGGGAAACTTCCGACCACGCCACCGCCGACGAGCAGCGTCACCGGAATCGACCACCACCGACCAGCATTGCGAGTCAATCCAACCATTGCCTTTCGAGGACCACCGCCGCGCACGGGAGGAAGAGGGCGAGGGCAGTTCAGCGGCGCAGAAAGCGATTGCCCGATTGCATCACCACGATTTCTGCCGCTTCGCCAGGGGCGAACAGAACGCGACGACAACGACGACGACGACGGCCCCTGTTATTTTGCCCAACCACCAACCACCCCCTCCTTTCCTCCCCGACCAAACTCCCCCGGCACCGCCAGCAGCCACCATCAAGAACAGGAGTTGCACCGCACTCACCATCATCCATAAAAATGCGAGGCCGTTGGAAAGTGATGACCGCATCGAGGAACTCCTACATGACGTGCAGAATCAGCATTGGGACGCCATCCTGATCAATGAAACTTGGAGGACAGAGCAAAAGGAATTGAGGATTACGTCGAGGGGCGCACTTCCGCAGGCTCTGGAAACGACCGGCGGTTCCATGGTGTCGCAATCTTCGTGCACAAACGCTGGAAGTCTTACTTATCAGAGCTCCAGGCCGTCAATGCGAGGCTCGCTGCAATGATCACCAAAAAGGGGCGCATCCGAATACAGCTGGTCTCAGCATACTTTCCGCATGCCGGGCATACCGACGCACGCATGCAAGGCATGTACGACGGGAGCGGCGCCATGCTCAAGGAGTCCCGCACGCGCAACATACGGGCCATTATTGCTGCAGACTTCTTCGCCCAGGTTGGGGCGCGACCGCGGTCGGAGCATGCGTCCACAGGCACATCTCGGACAGTCAACGATGTTTCGTCTCGATTTGTAGGCTCCCATGGATATGGCGACGAAAATTCCAGAGGTCAATGGCTGCGGCACTGGGCCACAACCGAGATGCTCTCGATCACGAACACGTTCTTCCGCAAACCGCCAAATAAGCAGATTGCGTGCATCGCAGCCGCTGAAAACCCGCGACAGTGCGATTATACACTGGTGGATCGAAGCTTGCCTCCCCTGGTGCCTCGACGCCGAAGCCTCGAACATCATTGATTTCAACTCGGACCACAATGTCGTCATGCTCCGCAGTCGCTTCCCCGCGCGAGCAGCATCGAACGCCAGGCGCTCTTCGAGGAGCATTTCTTCAAACGCCGCTTCCCGCAGCCAGTGCTGGGCGAACGTCAACTTCGACAGGTGCCAGCGTCACTTGGGCGTCCACTTTCAGACCGGAGAGTTGCCGACAGACCCGCAGGAGCTGAGCGCCGTCATCGAGCAGAGCATGTGCGCTTCAGCAGCCGACGGCGCGAACGCCGAGGCGACGCCGTCGCGCACGGACGCAACAACTGCAAGCGACCCTCAGCACCAACGTCACGACGACATCATTGCAGACCTTGTCAAACGACGCCGATGCACACCCGCCGCAGATACCGTCACCCGACGAGCGACCAGCAAAGACATCCAGCATAACATGCGACGGCAAAAGCGCGCCACCCGGGGCGGTCAGCTAAAGTGCATTCTGGAGCAGCACAAGGGCCCGAAGCACAGCAGGTCCGTCAAAGCCCGGAGAAAGAAGACGCCCATTCTTGACATGTTGGGGGCGACGGTGTCAAGCAGACAACCAGACAAGGGATCGCGGACGCATGCGGATATTAGTACGCCGAGTTGTACGCCTCTTCCATCGCGGGGGATCGACCAGCAGACGCAAAGTGCACACCGCAGCAGATCCCACCCTTCACTGAAGAAGAGCTCGTAGCAGCAATCTCAGAACTCAAGGGCGGCAAAGCACCCGACACCAACGGCATTCGGGCTGACATGCTCCAACAACCAGGCCGAGAACTCCAACGCGCCCTATTGCAACTGTACAGCATAGTCATCAAGGTAGACGTTCCCACGCCAGCCAGCTGGAGAAGGGCCGTCACCACACTAATTCCTAAGTCGGGAGACTTAGCACTTGGACCGACAACAAGCTGACGACCAAACTGGTTTCCGACCTGGCCGGGGAAAGCGTGATCATCCTTTTACCTTTAACTTTCTACGAGAAAGAGCTGCCGAATGGAACCAGCATCTATGGATAGCCGCCATATATTTTAAGACAATTTTCGTCGGCACAATTGAACGCGACAGCTTGTGGGCAGCGCTACACCGCCAGGGCGTTCCGCCGGGGTGCGTGGACTGTCTCAGACGCCTGTATCGTGACCAGACAGCCGTGGTGCGCACCGACACCACCAGCAGACCCTTCGACCTACGTCGCGGCACAAAACAAGGAGATCCGCTGAGCTCATCACTTTTCAACGCCCTGCTTCAGCATGTACTACTAGCACCGCTGGTCTCAGACTGGCAGAGAAAACGCCGGGGCGTTCAATTGGGCCACGCCGACGATTCGACACTCACGAACCTCCGGCTTGCAGACGACAATTTGCTGACCAGCCAAACACTGCACAATTTGAAAAGACTCCCTGTGAGATTTGATCACATCTGCCAAGCCACATGGGTTGGAGCTCCACCCAACCAAAACCAATATCATGACCAACCAGTTTAGCAACCGTGACCGGACGGCTACAGTAACAAGGATGGACATCGAAATCCTACCACGAACCAGCATCATCAAGTACTTAGGCCAGACGATCACCTTCCACGACGCCGCCGCGACCGAAGTCCAGCACCGGATTCAAGCTGCGTGGGCGTGTTTTAGCGGCCACCGACAAGAATTCACCAGCAAACACTACCCATTGAGACATCGACTGCGACTTTGCAAGGGTGCAGGCATCCCTACTATGACGTACGGCGCAGAAGCCTGCACTCTGACAGAGCCCCTCAAGCAGCAGCTACGACGAACGCAGCGACGCATGATCAGACTAATCATAGGGACACCGAGGAGACGCACAGCTGCACCAGCACCGCACCACGACCCAGCAGCAACCCCAGACAACACCCACCACCACAGTAAGGGATCCACCAATCCACGCGACTCCAACGATTCCAACGATTCCACCGACTCCGATGTACGCAGCGACCTTCCCAACCCGCTCAATCTGCAAGACGCAGGCAACGACGACGAGGACACGCAGCCTAGCAGCAGGGGGGATGACGACCTGGAGTTGTGGTCCGACTTCATCCGCAGAAGCACGCGGAGGGCGGAATCACTCATGCTCATGCACGACATACCAGACGTATTGTATATACATCGTAGAATGGTATGGCGATGGGCGAGTACGGTGACTCACCATCCCACGACGCGCTGGACCCGGAGAGTGCTGGAATGGAAAACCCGAATCTCAATACACGCGAGCGCGGACGACGGCAGCAAAGGGGACCCCCAACGCGGTGGGACGACGATATCCGCAGTTTCCTGCACAGTCTGGACAGCGAGGCCGTAGAGGAACAGAACAGGGCAGCCACCCAACCACGACAATACGAGAACAACAACACGAACGACCTACGATGGATCAGGGCCGCTTGCTGCACAGAGTTGTGGACATCCTGTGAGCCGGCAAACGTTTCACAAGCTTGAATATTTTGTTGATCTTCTTTGTCGAGGCCACGGCCTCCATGCCATGCCCTAATGGACACGGGCGGGCTCCCCGGTGGAGCGCGCACGACTCCGGCGTTCGCTTCGCTTCGCTTCGCTTCGCTTCCTTGTAACGGACAGTCCGAGGGGGTAGTAAAAATCAGACTCCGACAGTTTCCGTGAGTTCCTTCTCGAAAGGACCCCGTTTGCGGCAAGGCCTGCAAGCATTACAATCTCGAGCGCCTCCGGCTGGTGCAGCAGCACTTCGGCTCGCACCGCGAGGACCTGGAGATCGCAGAGCGGCTGGCCGAGGCGGAGGCCGCCTCGGAGGAGCGACATCCTCCGAGCATCGTCGGACCGATCCCCAGCCTCGCTGGTTCGATAGGGAAATCATGGGAGCCTTGCGCGCCCTCACCCTCGCAGTTCCGCCTCTGGAGCGCACCAGCGTCGATCAGCGATTGGCAGTCGATGAGGGAACGTCGATTCAGCGTCGATGTAGCATCGACTCGCGAGAGCCAGCAAGATGAAATGGCAGGCTCCAAGGATTTGCCGCAGAGGTATCTGATGGCCTTCGGCCCATCCCACCGCCGTGCCTGGGTTGCGGGCGTGAACGCGCCAAGCCCTGGGAGATTTGAGAGCAGCGGTGCGGATACAGTGAGCGGCTTGAGTAAGGAACACTTACTTTTCAAAAGGGGTTCGGCCGTTCCTTATGGCTTGCATGCGTTACGTCTCGTTCCCTATGCGTTGTTTTAATATTATGCATCGTTCCTCATGCTTTTTTCCCTGGAAAACAGGGGCTTCGCTCCTTATTCATCGTTCCTTAGGTCAGGCCGATGACTGCAGCAGCCCCGTGGCATCCCAGGCACAACAATTTTTGTTCGAGCTCCGCGTCGGTGCCGTGTTGACCGGCGCCTCGGCCCCCCCCCTCCCCCCGGCGCCCAGGGCGCGCGAGGGGGGAGCTCCGGCGCCGCTCCACAAGGCCTCCGCGGGGGGTCAGCAGTTCCTGCTCGTGCAGTGCTTTACCGGCCTCCAGTTTTTCGCTCAGTCTTGAAGCCCCTGTCACTGTCCCTTGGCGGCGGCCAGCTCCGCCACCTCTCTCGGGTGTTCCTAGAAGTGCCCCTGGTCCAGGCTGGAGGGCTACAGGGGCTTCAATTCTGAGCGAAAAAGTTCTCAGGAGAGGAAAAGAAACACACAGACACAGTCAATCCTCGATTCCCCAGAAAATGTGGGAAGATATGGGAAGTGGGGGGGAGGCAGAGACCCAGAACATATGGGAAAAGAACTGGTGTGTCCTGGGGCCCCTTCAAATTCATGCTCATGCAGTGCTTTACCAGCCTCCAACAGATCCCCATCCCCATAACTGGAGCCTCACCCTATCTGGATGCCGATCGGAAGCTTCCCCCTTGGCTTCTGAGGGCGCACCCCTAAGATGTCAGTCGTCTTGGGGCTGGTCATGTTTAGGGCTGCATCCTTCCTCGGCATCGGACGCACGGTTCCCCCACGACGTGGCAACGCCCTGGCACCCACCAATCTCCACGTTGACGCCGCCGCTGGCGACCGCAATTTCTCGGTTGGACCCGCGGGCCGCGCTGCGCGCGTCCATCAACATCGAGATTCGGGGGCGAGGGGGTCGGGTCAAGACTTGCGTTTGATTTCGAGGAGGGCTGTACAGTAGGTCGACCCTCCCAAGTTAAGAGTACCCTTGTGTCCTGTATCTCGCGACCCATGCCTCCTACATTATTGTGGCAATGTGGCCCTTGGAAGGGTCTTGTGTCCTCTCGCGCGTCCTGTCCAATCAAGTCCGACTGTATAGGGTCAGCTCGAGGCGGCTTCGTCCTGCCTCCCCCTGCAGAGGAGGGCGCCTGCCTTCAGGCGCTGGCCCGCGAGGGCGCCGCCTCCGACACGGACGCCTCCTTCGCGTCCGCGAGCTGCCTGCGGCAGGGCGCCGCCACGGCCGCCGCCGAGCCGGCCTCGGCCAAGGCTCGGCGGCGAGAGATCCGAAACCTGCACTGGCCGATCAACGAGTCGGGCAGACCGACTTCAAGCAGTGGCGAAGCGTCCTCGCGCGCCTATAGCCCTACCAAGCAATGTTCCAAGAACCTTTTGTGGCTCCCACGGAATGTTCTTGGAACATTTCTGGCGGAGTCCGTCTCGTTTTAGCACCTCGGGTCTGTGTTCTGAGAGCCCTGTTTCTGCTTTTCGAGCGCCTCTGGGTTCTCAGAACATTTCGCGGTAGGACTGTAGGCCGCAGAAATGCCGGGACGGTCGGGCGACGAAATCTATACATATCCACTGCTCCCTGACCATGCCCATCTTGAGCCCAGGAGCTGTGTATGCGCCCTCCTGGCCAAGCCAGGAGGGCGTGGCGTATACACCGCTGCGGGGTTGAGGATGGGCCTGGCCAGGGAGCAGTAGATATGTATAGATTTCGTCGCCCTAGACGGTCGGCCTTCGCTCAACCACACTGGCCGATCCGCGAGTCGGGCAGACCGACTGGCGGCGGGGCCGGGGCCCAGACCTCGTCGGGCACGCGGCGAGATCCGGTAGCCCCGGCCCCGCCTCCCAGGAGGAGGAGGAGGAGGAGGAGCAGGAGGAGGAGGAGGAGGAGGAGGAGGTGGGCAGGGCTCCCGCGCCCTCTTCGGCGCCCCGCCCAGGCGGATGTCCCGGCTGGCAGGAGCCTCCGGGTCTCGCCGGGCTTCTGGGAGCGCGCCTCATGTGAGGAGCAGGCCCTGAGGAACGCCGGAGCGTCGTTTGATGGGCCCGTTTTCCACCACGGCCACCACCGCAAGTTGGAGGGGGGAAGGAGGTGGAGGAGGAGGAGGAGGAGGAAGGATAGGAGGAGGGGGAGGAGGAGCACCCCCTCTTCCTCGTACTTCTGGTGGTGGCGGTGGGAAACAAGTCCACCATTGTTCCCCGAAGCCTGGCGAACCCCATGGGCTTCTGCAAGCCTGGACATGCGCCTGGACGGGAGCGCCGAAGAGGTCGCGGGAGCCCCCCGCCCCCCGCATGAAGGCGCTCGCGTCGCTGAACCCGCACCACAAGGATGCCGTCCAGGTGTTCGAGTATGCGGCTGCCTGCGGCGGGGCTCCGCCGCCGTGACCCAGCTCAGCGGAGGAGAAAAGGTACCGGCTCCGCTGCGCGGTCTGGAGGAGTCGAAGGGGACGAAGGAGGGGCGTCCTAAGGAGGGGGCGAAGTTTCGAGGTTCGACTTTCGAGCCTCGAGAATCGAGTTTCGAGGCTTGTTTGCCTTCGGGGGCCTTCCTCGTCGCCACGGCTGGATTCGCCCCGAGATTCTGGTCAGAACGCACCCGGGGAGAGGCCTGGGAAGTAGCGGTATTTTTTTGTTGCCCCACCAGCGCCGCTTTGGGTCGCTCCAGGATCGTACGGTATGGGCCCCCCTGTGCTCCTGCGGTCGTGGCGTCGGATTGGGGCGGGGCTGGGGCCGGGATGAATCGTTCCAGATCCTTCCGGAACGCTTTCAGCGCTTCTCGGATCGCTTTGGAATTGCCACGGCACCAGATACATTCTCCAGAGCCGCCGGACCTCAGAGGTTCCCGATTCATCCTGGTTCGGTTTTGTCCTGGTCTTGGTTTGAGCTGAGTGAGTACTCGAACACATAACGCGCGTTATGTGGCCTCCAAATCACCCGCCCACCCAATAGATACAACAAGTGGCACGCGTGCCCTGGCTCTTGCACGAAGGAGCTTCGAAGGACAGGAGGCCCCCGCTTTCGTGTTTCAGGAGGAGTTTACGAGGAGCCAGAAAGAAAGTGGAGGAGGAGGAGGACGACGACGACGAGGACAACAACGACGAAGACGACGACGACGACGACGACGACGACAGTCGTCGGCGGCGCCCCGCCGCGCGGCTCGCCGCCCGCGGTCGCCGCCGCGGCGCCGCCGCAGGGGGGGAGCAGTCCCGGGAGGCTCGGGGGAGGGAGGGCGGCGGCCCAGGGGAGCCAGAGGGGACCCAGGTGGACGAACCACAACGACGAAAATAAAGGGGTTCGAGCTCTAGAACACAGCTTTGCAAGAGAATAAACGGTTCCGTGGCCCAGGGGGGCTGCCCCAGGAAGCCTGGACGGAGGGGGGCTCCCAAAGGCTCCCACGGGGGGGGGCCCAGAGGAGCTGGGTCTGAAGGGGAGGGGCCCAGGGGGACGAACGAACCACGACGAAATAAAAATGTCCGAGCTCTAGAGCACAGCTGTGCAAGATAATAAAGGCTTCGGCGGCCCAGGGGGGCTGCCCAGGGAGGCTGCCCAGGGAGGCTCGGGGGGAGGCTCGGGGCAGGGGGATCCTGGGAGGCTCGGGGGAGGGGAGGGTCCAGGGACGACGAACCACGAACGAACCACGAAAATAAATGCTTCGGCGGCCCAGGGGGGCACCACGAAAATAAAGGCTTCGGCGGCCCAGGGGGGCTGCCCTGGGAGGCCCTGGGAGGCTCGGGGGAGCTGCCCTGGGAGGCTCGGGGGGAGGCTCAGCGGCCCAGGGGGGCTGCCCTGGGAGGCTCGGGGGGGCTGCCCTGGGAAGCTCGGGGGGAGGCTCGGGGCAGGGGAATCCTGGGAGGCTCGGGGGAGGGGGGGGTCTAGGGGGCTGCCCTGGGAGGCTCGGGGGGAGGCTCGGGGCAGGGGGATCCTGGGAGGCTCGGGGGAGGGGGGGTCCAGGGACGACGAACCACGAACGAATCACGAAGATAAAAGATTCGGCGGCCCAGAGGGGCTGCCCTGGGAGGCTCGGGGGGAGGCTCGGGGCAGGGGGATCCTGGGAGGCTCGGGTGAGGGGGAGGGTCCAGGGACGACGAACCACGAACGAACCACGAAAATAAAGAGGTCCGAGCTCTAGAGCACAGCTGTGCAAGAGAATAAAATCGTGGGGGCGGAGGGGGCACTGGGCGCGGCTGGGGAGGCCCCACTGGGGGGCGCTGGGGGCCACTGGGGGGCGCTGGGGCGGTCCCACTGGGGGGGGGAGGGGTGCGTCGCGAAACATAAAATCGTCGGGGCGGAGGGGGCACTGGGCGCGGCTGGGGAGGCCTTACTGGGGGGCGCTGGGGACCACTGGGGGGCGCTGGGGGGGTCCCACTGGGGGGGAGGGGTGCGTCGCGAAAAATAAAATCGTCTGGGCGGAGGAGGCACTGGGTGCGGCTGGGGAGGCCCCACTGGGGGCTGGGATCGCCTGGGAGCGCCTGGGAGCGCCTGGGAGCGCCTGGGAGCGCTTGGGAGCACCTGGGAGCGCCTGGGAGCGCCTGGGAGCACCTGGGAGCGCTTGGGAGCGCTTGGGAGCGCCTGGGAGCGCCTGGGAGCGCCTGGGAGCGCCCGGGAGCGCCTGGGAGCGTGCCGGGAACGCTTGGGAGCGCTTGGGAGCGCCAAGGAGCGCTTGGATGCGTCTGGGAACGCCCGGGAGCGCTTGGGAATGCGCCGGGAGCGCCTGGGAGCGGCGCTGGGGACCACTAGGGGGCGCTGGGGAGGTCGCACTGGGGAGGGGGGGAGGGGTGCGTCGCGAAACATAAAATCGTCGGAGCGGAGGGGGCACTGGGCGCGGCTGGGGAGGCCCCACTGGGGGGCGCTGGGGGCCACTGGCGGGCGCTGGGGCGGTCCCACTGTGGGGGGGGGGGGGGGGCGGGTGCGTCGCGAAAAATTATCCAGGCGAAGGACCCAACCATATGCAGTTGTGAGTATCGCAATTGGGAGTATCTTCTTCGGTGGCGCTCCCTATGGGGCCACGAACCGCATGAGGGGTGTGCCGAAATGTGGCGGGGCACACAACGCAAAGGATTACGATTGATCTGATTACGAGAGAAAGAACGCGGGTGAGTCAGAGCGCGGGGGAATCTGAGTATGAATGGGTCTGCGCGCGAGTGAATATATTTGCATGAATGCGATCATGGAACCGCCTAGTGTAAGTGTCGAGCATGCCTGTCCGAACACACGTGACACTCGGCGTGGCCGCCGCAGACAGCTTCCGCGGGAACCCCGACGGCAGCGCCCGCACGTCGCGACGCCCATGTCGGCACGCCTCTTCCGAGGATCGCGCCCGCTTTCGGCTCTTCTTTTCCTTCCTCTTTGCCCGCGCACTCCAAAATCCAAGGCTGCGGGCGCAGCGCAGCGCGGAGTCCCCGCGACGCGCGCTGGTCGCCCCGGGCGGGGTCCCAGCGACGCGCGCGGGTCGTCCGCTGCGCGAAGCAGAGAGAGCTGACTAGCTAACTGGCTGGCTGATAGCGGGCAAGTCTCTGACCGCTGGGCAGAGCGACGACGGGCGAACGAGGCGCCGGGCCCCCCGCAGCACGGAGTTCCCGCGACGCGCGCTGGTCGCCCCGAGAGGGTCCCAGCGACGCGCGCGGGTGTCCGCGGCGCGAGGCCAAACAATTAGTCGGGCAGTCGAGAGAAGGCGCGGCTCGGGGGAGACGCTCCTCAGGTCAGGCCTCGCGGATGAACTCGGTGAAGCCGAGCTCCCTGGCGAGGGCCGTCGCTTCCCTCCTGCACCGCTTCGTGCGCGCCGCAAACTGCTCCAGCTGCTTCCGCAAGCCCTGCGGCGGCCCTGCCAGGAAGAACTCGATGCGCGGCGCCCGCATGAGCAGGAGGTCCTCGTGGCGCGTGGCGCGCGAGAGCAGCACGTAGAGCTCCAGCCACCAGTCGTCGTCCTCCTTCTTGCCGTTCCCTACCTCGTGGCGGCCGCAATCCAGGATCACGCCTGGGCGACGTCGACCGAGGGAGCAGCGCGCCGGGCAGCCGACGGCCCAGGGCGAGAGTCCACAGGACCGAGAGATGGTCTGGCCGCGGACTGCTCGCGCCCCGGAGGTCTGGCCGCCCCCGGAGCGCCGTTCCCCCGCCCCGTCGCCTTCGCGCATGGTGCGCCCCTGGCACGCCACCGTGGTGATGACCCTGCCGTGCGAGAAATGCGGGGGGTGTGCCGAAATGGGTGGGGGTGACGCATGCGGGCGGCGGCACTGAGGCCTTCGGTGGAGCTCCCTATGGAGCCACGAAACGTGTGAGGGGTGTGCCGAAATGGGTGTGGGGGACGCATGCGGCCGCGGGCACTGGGGCCTTCGGTGGAGCTCCCTATGGAGCCACGAAACGTGTGAGGGGTGTGCCGAAATGGGTGTGGGGGACGCATGCGGCCGCGGGCACTGGGGCCTTCGGTGGAGCTCCCTATGGAGCCACGAAACGTGTGAGGGGTGTGCCGAAATGGGTGTGGGGGACGCATGCGGCCGCTGGCACTGGGGCCTTCGGTGGAGCTCCCTATGGAGCCACGAAGCGCGTGAGGGGTGTGCCGAAATGAGTGGGGGTGACGCATGCGGCCGCGGGCACTGGGGCCTTCGGTGGAGCTCCCTATGGAGCCACGAAGCGTGTGAGGGGTGTGCCGAAATGACACCCCCAGTGGGACCTTCGGTGGAGCTCCCCATGGGGCCACGAAACGTTGTCCTGGGTGGGGGAGACGCATGCGAACACCCCTACCGGGACCTTAGGTGGAGCTCCCTATGGGGCCACGAAACGCTGTCCTGGGTGGGGGAGACGCATGCGAACACCCCCACTTGGGCCTTCGGTGGAGCTCCCTATGGGGCCACGAAACGCTGTCCTGGGTGGGGGAGACGCATGCGAACACCCTTATTGGGACCTTCGGTGGAGCTCCCGATGGGGCCACGAAACGCTGTCCTGGGTGGGGGAGACGCATGCGAACACCCCTACTGGGACCTTCGGTGGAGCTCCCTATGGGGCCACGAAACGCTGTCCTGCGTGGGGGAGACGCATGCGAACACCCCTATTGGGACCTTCGGTGGAGCTCCCTACGGGGCCACGAAACAGTGTCCTGGGTGGGGGAGACGCATGCGAACACCCCCACTTGGGCCTTCGGTGGAGCTCCCTATGGGGCCACGAAACGCTGTCCTGGGTGGGGGAGACGCATGCGAACACCCCCAGTGGGACCTTCGGTGGAGCTCCCTATGGGGCCACGAAACGCTGTCCTGGGTGGGGGAGACGCATGCGAACACCCCTACTGGGACCTTCGGTGGAGCTCCCTATGTATGGGGCCACGAAACGCTGTCCTGCGTGGGGGAGACGCATGCGAACACCCCTGTTGGGACCTTC